TTTTCATGCATAAAAATTATCGTTGAAGAGATCGGAAAAACAACAAATCGTCCGCAATTGTAAATATTGTAATTCCACACGTACTATCAGCCCTGAATATAAACATAAAACCATCTGAATAATTTCTCTACAATAATTCAAAACGCCAGCTCCTGACATATCAGCATTTTGGTCTGCATTTTGCTGCTCGCGTGTTCGTGAATATCTCAATACATTTTGTTTACTTTTGTCTAGTACAGGGGAGGAGGGGGATTGAGTTGAAATCGCTGATAGTTACTTCAGCATGTCATGGGTATTTAAGACGTGAACATCAGTAATATATCGGTAAACTATATTACAGGGAATTACCCCTGTATTATGAGGACGTCGAGAAAAGGATTTCCTTGGAACTGTGCGTGAAGTGTGCAAAACTCCTTATTGTGTGGTCATCTGAAACGAGAGACTAAATACAAACTAAAAATTTAATCCGCAAATCCAATTAGCGACTCAAAATGAGGAAGTGATTATTGTAAGAAAGGGACGGAGTCATAAGATATAAAGATATATCGCAAAACATAATGCAGAACTTCATAAATTTCGTTTTCAAAACTCTATTTTTGACCTGGTAAATCCCAAAAATTTCGGTATTTTTCATCGGATCGGAAACTATAGCAAACCCAGCGGTTCTCAAATATGTGTTTGTGCTGCGCCATATCGCCGCATTATTTCAAAGTTGCAATGCTTTTACTTTATCGTAATGAATTGTACTCGTGGGATTTTATGACCTACCTTGGAATTTTGCAAATGGTGATTTCTTAAAAAAAATAATCTCAAGTGGCTCAAATTAATCAAATGACCAAGATCGCTCCTTTTCTTAATATATAATTAAATTAATTATAATATATATTAAATTGATATGGCAAGACATTTTTAATTCTCGTAATAGTCTTGAACTGAATATTTTGCGCAACAGAAAAACCATCAACGGTGAAAAAGTCGGCAATTTCAACAAATGGGTAATCACGACGACAAAATAAAATCAATCAAATAACACTTGCCTTCTAAATCCCAAGTTACAGTAATTTTGTTCGTAAACGACAGGAATGCGCATCATTTATTCTCTTTGATTTGAATAATCTATTTATCAAATACGGTCATCATGATCGCAATTATTACATTGTGCTATCTTTATTATTAACGTTATCCTAGCCCATGAGCCCCGTTGTTAAGCTTTTTTTTTCTATCAACTTTCTTTGCGCTGCTGCCGTAATTTGCCAGCCCCTGTAATAACGGCCCATTGATCATTGTGTCTAGGACTCTAGGTATTTGCAAATACCCGTTTCTGACCATACTGAATTTTGATCATCCGGCCCAGTAACCAAGTCTGTTATCCGCATCCGGCCCACTCAGGAAAGTAATTGCCCACTCCTGGTTTAAACCAAATCACGTGGCATTGCACACAAAACACGCTTATCGAAAATTGCCTAAGGAAATGAATCGAATTCAACATTTGGGGTGCTTGTGTAACATGTGTAAGACATTCTAAGAAAGCTTCATATATCACTCTTATACTAACAAGACTATTTTTATTCGAGCACTCATGAAAACAGAAGTCAAGTCTTATAAAACTACTTAAGTCACAAAAACCTGAGCAAAAATGAATGTTTATTCCAAGTCTAAGAATATTGGTTTATTAAAAACTTCCATACGATAAATGGTACAGTTTTCTGAATGTAGTCTGTTAGTGCAAAATAAAAAAGGAACAATAGTGAGTGCTGTGACCCATATATAAGCTAAATTTTCATCTTTTCGATTTCATCTGTGCTGTTGACGATAAAAATTGATTTCAACTATTTTAAGACTTTGTACATCCATCACGTGATTTGTGTTTCTTTTCATCTCATTCGAAATCAAACATGGTGTTTTCTGAAGTGCAAAGTCAAAAAGTAAATATATATAAACATGCATATTCACATGTTTAAACCATCATAATTCAATGCTATATTCTACTATTGGTCATTTCATCATACTGCATAATCTCAATATTTATTCATTCAAAACAAAATATATTAAATTAGTTTAGATTTGAATCACGGATGTTGGGATACAGTAGGCTACACCGTACAGTTGAAGCAATTTATTTTCCAGACTAAAATTTGATATCGTTTAAATTTTGTGGATGCAATAACCTATGGTTACCCTATTCTTTTTACTGCGGGGAATATTTAATCCCCCATATGATTTATTAGGCAGACGCGTATATCTTAAAAAATAAAGATACGATCTCTATGTGGTGGCATTAACATTGTAATCCAGGGAAACATAAGTTGTTCTGATACGTTTTTGATTTTACTACTGTAGCTGTTGTAAAATCGTTTTCTTTAAAATTAAAGATTTGATCAATTCTAGTATACAAAGATTCAAGAAGTCGCTGGGAGGCTATCCCATTCAAATTTTGTCGGATTACTATGTGCCTATTAAATGATTGGATAACAGATTTAGGTGTTGGACGCATCACTGCAGCTGTAATGCGGTTGGCCACTATCATTTGCGGGTGCCACATTGACTTGCTCACTTGCTCATCGTCTCGATCGCATGAGACCTCATCTGAAATCACTGAAATCACAGAACTGCTAAGATCGCATACTAAAGTAGCATGATTTGTGTCCGTATATTTGAGAATTGCTAGCACTGCTGTCTTTTTTAATAGTACTTTAATGAGTCACCTTCTAAATCGTTTTTTGTTAAACTTCGTTTTCTCTTGGGCCACAACCCATCGTCCTTGTCGTTTGCCCTGGTATAGCAATAAGTACGTGTCAATATTTGTTAAAAAATGCATGAAAAAACAATGGAATTCGAGTGTGCGTGATATTGTTTCGAACATTTGTTTTTAATGAAATGTGAGATTGGGGGAAAATATACAAATCAAAATAGTTTAAACTAGTAAGTGCTAACATTAAAGAATAACATTTCATAACATAAGCAGTTTGGTTAAAATTGTTGGTCCTCAACAAGTCTCAGTTATGCTCGAGTATAGATAAATATTTGTTTGAAAGTATAAAACGTTAAAAAATATATTCACGTTGTTTCGCTGTTGCCGGTACCTCCTCCATTATCACCTTTGTCCTCATTTTTTTCTTTATCTCCCTTGACGCTTGACGTCACAAGTAATGAAGCGAGCATTGCTAGCAAGACCAAAAGCTTCCAGTTAGTCATGACTATATTGTAATACTTATAGATGGTTCTCGTTAACAAAAATAAAGTAATTGTATCAGTGAGACAAAGCAGAATATACTCAACGGTTCCAACACCTTCTCAGTATAATGCCTATCGTTGAATGAGCCCCAGGCGTAAATTAGTACTGCTTTTATCTGGCTTTGATAGATGAGCTTGGTCAATTTATTTTGACCCTTGTTGGGAATGATTTCATCATAGAACAAAACAAGATGTATCCAATATCCGTCTCGACTGTTTAAAAAGCAAATGCCCAAGTTTTTTGTTTCAAGAATATTTGGCCAACATTAGACATGAAACTGATCAACTAGGCGCGGATATTAGATCAGGAATAGAATAGAATATTTATTCAAATCGATTGGTAAGGCTATAGGACGGCTCGATCACAGTCAGTTGTCCCTTCACCAGCTCAGTTATTTGAATAACATGTCAGTTCATTGTTCCATATACAAGGTCATGAAAGGGCGTACGATTTTCTAATTACTTTTCCCCAACTATGAAGTTCCTGGACACAGATAAAAAAAAATCATAAAATACGACCAAAACATTTGCGTATGAAGTACAGGCAAAATCTGTGTGAAAATCTGATAATGTAAAACTCCTTCGGTGTTTGTTTTTTTTCTATTTACTTTGTTCGACGACAAAATTTCAGTATGAAAAGCAACGGATTAGAAGAATTTGCTTGTGCGTAAACAAAAACAAAAATAATGAACCCTTCTCCAAGCACATGATAATGATTCAAAAACATGTTGACGCAAGAAATCGATTACGAAATCCCTGTTATCTGATATGCGATATTTGCTTCGCTTACAATAAAAATCATCTATCTATAATTTCTTACGTACTGCTATTAGAATGTAAAAATACTTCTAATCTGACGAAAATTCGACCACAATTTTATATATCGAATTTCACTGAAGAGCGAGGATAAGCGCGGCTATCACGGAACTTATTATACTTGATATTGTAAATATAATAAAAATTTTGGAAGACTAACTGGTAATATTACTTTCTGGTAGTGAACTCCGAGTGCATCTGCTAAAAGGTCACAAATGTAGTATTCACACTTTTAGCGAAAATTCACTCGAATGAAATTTAAATAAAAAAATCAAATATATATCTCAGCAATGCGGCTATATTATAAAAACATTCTATACACTACGTAGCACTGTAAGGTTATAGAAGTTACAGCATTCAGTTAGCTTATGAATAGAGCGGAAGCAACTAACTAAATGATCTTATATCCGAGTGGAGTGAAGAAAACTTATTTATGTATAACGTTTGGATATTAACGTTACTAAACCCAGCCCAAGCGCAAATTTGCAAGCATGAATGAATAAAATTGTTATGGATACTGAAATAAAAAAAAAGATCGAGGTTGGATGCGCCATAGAAATGCTGCTCATGATTTCTGGTAACGTACGTTCTGCGGAGCCGATTGAGAACTGGTATTTCAATATAATATTGTGGCAAAATATTTCGTTACCTATAAGCTGAAACACCAATCGGAGTCAAAACTGCTTTTAGTCGATAGTCAAAATCGGCAAAATAGTCAGAGGCCTAGAGGAATTGGAATGAATAGGTTATAGTGATTTTGTTCAATTTTATATGTTTTCTTGATGTCTCCAATGTAATTACAAGAGAGCAATGCTCAAATACACAAGCACTAAGACTGAAACGAAGTAGTACGGGTATGTAATCTTTCACGGTATCGTTATGGTATTGTAGTCTTTCAGACTTCGACTCGCCACCAAATCGCAAAGATTGCAAACGCGGAATCGCCACAAGGTGCGCATTTTTTCATTGTGATAAGGTCATCACACACTAAACGAATCCCATAGAGCCCATATTAAATTTTGAAATAGATAAATTTATGCACAACAAGAAAAATACCAACCAGAACAAAAACAACAACATATTAAGTGAAAGATCCATTCGGGTCCTCAATAATATGTTACTACACTTACGGAGCTGCCTCGATTCATTTATTTATCCTCCGCTTTCGTGGCAAGATATAATCCCTTTATTGAATGATCGGAGATTTTAAATTAAACATTAGAATGTGACTGTTTATTATAATGTTTTAATGTCACGAGTTAATGAAACACTACTATCAGGCATTACCGAAGTACGTGTTACTACTCACCAAGATCGTGGAATGTTGTTTTTTACAAAATGAACTGTGAAAAAATAACATACACACTGTCCACATAGTCACAGTTAAAAGAGTTTTCTATACAAAATAAAATCAGCAGTATATAATGATTTTATCACCATTTCCAAATCCCATTCGATTTCATAAAGACAACAAGAAATTAAACGTGCTGTGTAATAGCGACACCTAACGTCCGTTCCAATATTTGAAAAACAAAAGTGCAATGCTCAAATACACGAACTGTCGCGAAGGTCCAATGGCTAATAGTAATATGGCAACAACAATGTCAGCAAAATCCCAGCAAAGTGTTAAAAAAACTGTACTGAATGGCAAATGTAGGCATGTCCATGAAATAGAGAGCCATGGTTCATAAAAACAATTGAATTTGGGGTGAATTATCGTTCCCTCTTAGGACCTAGAAAAATAAAAGTAAAAGCCTTATAAAAATTTCTTTGAGTACTGAAAATTCAATAAAAATTCATCACATTTTACAGATTAGCAAATACATGTAACATCATTAGAAAATTAAACAGCTTCTATATCTATATGGAACTTCTGTCCCCGTGAACACCAAGAAATAATAATTACTGCTTCAATATAAATCTGTGCGCGTGCTGTTCCATAATGCTGTAGACTAGAGTATAGAATATAGATCTTCGCTTCCGTTATATGGCCCAATTTAAAATCAATGGGTAAGAGACCAGTAGTATATTTGATAGTTCAAAGTATCATATCTTTAGTATTGAGTGATAGTCGACCTCGACCTTTTTATCAGACATCAAATTGACACAGACCGATTGTACGTAACGTAAAAAATCGAATATCCCCAGTACAACAAAACACGCGAAACGTGGATACGAAATTTGACGTTTTTCTTTCATATTCGGACGTAAAACCCAGGTTTTGCCATGCCGCGTCTGGAGACGTAACAATAATAATGGACGATAGGTTTTTGATTTTAATGCCGAGTTTTGCCAGTTTTGAATTTTACACGTGTGTTTTTATATTTTAATTTTTATAACATACTTTCACATGGTCCTATGAATATTCTTAAGTACATATACACAGTGATGAGCTGAAAAAATCGTAACAACCGGCACGCACCAAATTCGTGAAAATGTAATATATGTTTACAACACGACGCTACCAGTAATTTTGTCTGTCGTGAGATAGAGCCGAAGAACTACAATAAAATATGAAAAAATTATCTGAATGTGACTGTTTAAAATTGTAAGAATATTCATACTAATTCAATACGAATGCTATTATTAGAAAGGTATTGGATGAATTTTCAGAGGGGTTAAAGGTCGGCGAAAAATTCATTACACGTTAATGTGCACTAATTATTTGCGTGCTGTAATGTAAAAAGAATTATGATGCAACAAAACACCAATTAATAACTAAGTTTCCCGCAGAAACTATATTTTTCGAACCATAATTTTATTTTAACAACAGGAACGCAAACGCAATAAAATGTCCAACAACCGGAACGCCGTTCCGGCTACAGCTCACCACTGCATATATATATATATATATATTATGGTATTATTCAAATTTTTCCCGGATTTCGATTCGCCCAATAAAAGTCGTACACGAAGATCATAATTGTCCTGAATTATATTCTGGCCCCAGTATAAAAAAAAATTGTGATTTCAATGACAAAACAAATTTTATGATTCAAGAATTTTTGCTTTTATGAATTGAAATCTATCTTTAGCAAAATTATAAAACTCCATTTCCATGGCCCATACTTTTGTTGATTTTATTTTTCTTGTTGTTTTTGCAGAAAGTGGAACTTTTTTATTTGTGTTTCGCATGTGAGAAGTTGATTTATCTTTGTGATATTGTTCCGAAAGTCCCTCAAACATTTGAGGCATCATATTTTCCAATAGCATTATAAAATCATGTAGTTTTTCCGTAATTCCAACAAGCAAATACTTTGTTACTAAATTTCGTTTCGCTTCTTTCAACGCCCATCGACTCCCAACTTTTTGGCATTCTGAAATTTGTCCACAAAAATATGGAATTTGTAACCAAAGACGATCAACTCTACAATCACTGTGTTTTCTTTTGAAACACTCGTCGAATGTCGTTGTATCACCTTGTTTCGTTCGAATCAAGTCGGTGCGAAAATTATCTCCAAACCTCAGAAAATAGTAGTGAGACACTAGTCTTTCCAGTGGATCTCGAACAATGTTGATATAAATTGGTGACAAAGAACTTCCAAAACGAGTGAATTCAACATAGAAAAAGTGACCGTGATAAAATGCCGGTGTGATTTCTTCCCAATTTGTAACATTTTGTACCAATCTAAATTGATCTTGTAGTGTTAGCAATGGCGAGCTATTAATTGTCTGAATATTAATTGAATAAAGCTCATTTTTGTGGTGACGAATTACTAACTTGCAAAAGCTCGTACTTGCAGTCTTAGGAATTTTATTATATATTACCACTAAATTTTGACGATTTCCATTCGGTTGTTGTCTTTGTCCTACGAACGATATCTGCTTATGAAGAACCGTAAATCCAACTATAAACAAAAGTACCAACAACAACTTGTTCATTTTACAAACCATTCTAAGAATAAGTCTTGCATATACATTGTAACTTGAAAGTGGGAATCAACCGATCAATTGTATTTTTCCTTAACGCGTTATTTCCGGCAAATATTGATTATACAATCCTTGCGTTAAAAGCTAATATTGTGAAATCATTTGTGAAATAATCCGTGAAACAACTAATTTTAATGGGAATTTGTTACCAATTATGAGTGAGCAAAGCGGGCCTTTAATTCATTCGCGTTTGCATATTTTTTTGATTATCGTAAATACAGGCTACGATACGCCAAGATATGAGTTAGAACTTCTAATAATAAATAGGTGATATAGTAGGGCGGGGAAAGATGGACCCCCTTATTGAAAATTAACTATATTTCGAAAACTATCTGTCGAATATCATTAAAAACTTGGTCGGTAGATACGTATAAGTCTTCTGGCACTCGACGACGCCTGCCGTTCGCCAACACTCGAGGCGATAGAGATGATTTTTGCAAAAAAATCACCGGGGAAGATGGACATATAGTCGGGTATGACGGACCCTTAATAAAATTGTATTGAAGTAATGAAAATGTGTTCTGCTGCTTCTTAGAATACCAAAATAAATGATATATTCGAAAAAATCCTAGTCAATCAAAAATACACCGTGTGTCCACTTTACCCTATATATTTGCGTAGCTAACAAGCAATATGCATAATACAAAAATGTACATAAATACTATCAAGGAAGCAGTAAAATTTTACTCGCTTGCACTATTTTACAAATACTATCATAACAGAGAAAGAACATGTGGGGTTGAGTGAAGAATGGTCATAAGTTTTTAGTTAGTATGTGATAGAAAATTGTATACAAAGCAGCTTCAATCAGAGCCGCCATCACATTGTAATTACACAATGTTTCTTCCATAAACACCGAGGAAAATATAACGAGGCAACTTTTGGATTCTATGCACTGAGTTCTTCTCGCTTCCACAACATCGTCATGAAAATTGCAGTTGCAGACAGCACAAAAGTTGCTCAAACAACCCCTTCATAGGCGCTCATTATTAAGTTTTTTATTTTACTTTCTACGAGCTGGATGACGTAGTTTCCGCAAGAGCTGACAGTTCGGCTGCAAAAGTTTCACCTGTCAATACTCTAGTTTCTGGCTTAAATTGCTTCTCGGCTGCCTGGGGGAACCCCTAGAGGAGACAAGTTATCTTCGAATGATTGATCTGACAAACTGGTACTGACTAGTTCTCTGCTTAGGCCCTGACTGAACGAATCACTAACTTCCTCGGAAGCTACCTGACAACCCAACAAAGTTCAATCAAAATTTGCCAAAAGAATAGCATGACTCGTCGGCCTCGATTGTGACCCTTTCTACCTCTGTTTCATCAACATTGTAACTCTCTCTGGGATGATTAAAACGACAAAGTTCTTTTATGCCCCTTCCAACATGTCGAAATACTCCTTGAGACGGTCTGTTTGCCCTCCCCATGGTATGCGTCTAAAGTTCTCTAATTGCTGCAATGTCACGGCTCTGAGATCTGACTAAGCCCATCAATCTTTTCCGGCTATTCTACGCGACTTGCAAAATTTGTTCTTGATTCCATTACGTACAGCAAACTCGTAAGCCAATGCTCGTATGACATTCACAGTTAATGGGAATCCTCTCTTTCCTAATTCAAAAATAAGCTTAACAAGATTTCCCTCCGCTCCATTGCAAATATGAAACTAGGGCCGAGATGGTTCGATGCCATCGCGTTCCTAACAGATCGAAACACATGCTTTCGTAGGGTTGTTCTGAGAACGTTGTGATTACGTGCTGCGCTCTTTAATTTCTTGCCTTTCTGGATATTTTTCACTGCCATTCTCATGTTCGATTCTGACCAAGAGCATCTTTTTGATATTCTTTGGTATTTTCTTGTCATTTTTTAAGATTTTCTCTTTTCCATGCATCCACAACTTGCATCTGGAAAAAACCTGATAGTACAGAAGGGTAAGATGGCCATCTCCCATAATTTCATAAAATTATTGAAATTTTCGCAGAAACATTTTGACAGGTAATAGCAATTAAAAAATTAAAGAGTACCCCATTTATAACCTCCCCATTTTTACAGGATCACTTGCTGAAAGCTAAATTGCTGGAACGAATTCCTTCCTTAGCAACGAACTCCCCAATGGCATTTGCAGAATCAAGCCCCATAAGATCAAGTCAATTTGGAAATGTTTCCATGCATGTTAGTCGTTGGTGTCCAACTAACCTCGTGTGTCTATCTTCCCCCACCCTATCATATATATTTTACCGGTTGTATATCAAGTTGAAAATGTATTCAATAATTTTTTTTTTATTGTTGGCAAAAACATTCTCGTGGTGGACGGCCATCTGTTGGGTCGTCCGAATTTATCATTAGGAAAAGTAGGCTGAAGCATGGGGGCGTCAAGCCGCACGGTCCTCGACATTCAATTTTAAAATATTAGGTAGTTTTTAGATTTTGAAGGATTGTTCCAAATTAAAACCAGTTTTACATCATATAAACTGATATTTGTTCAATTTTTTGATGAGTTTAATAATACTTGTCCCGAATATTTACTGTTTGAAAGATCAAAAATTTATTCACGATCGAATGAATGAATTCGACTCTTTTAGCCTTAAAAACAAAATATAACTTAGATTAATTGAACACTTGCATCCTAAAAATGCATTTATTTTGTGAATAATATCGATATATATATATATATACCAATTTCACCAAGCAATAACGATGTAAAAATTGTTATTTTCACGACTTGGGATCTATTTTATCGTATACACGTTATGTCGAAAAATATATTATCATTTTGGGCCACGCTACCAACCTCTTGCAATTAGAAACGCGTATTATGCCGTCGGATTTTCTGGTGTCATGTTTATTGCTGCCTTGAATTCCTTAAAGTGCTTATAAATTTTTCTTACTTATCCAATCTGCTTGGTTGATTAACAGGCGCTTCGAAAATATATGTAACAAGATGACGCACAACCTGAACCCAAACCTGCTACACATACTATGTTCAGGTTGTTCGCCATCTTGGTACACATACTTCGGAGCACCGATTAGAATAATATTTACCTGTGAGTAAAGTTTTGTATTCCACATGAAAATTCAAGTCAAAAACGAACCACATAGGACCCACAGAAAGTTTGGGCTGAAGTATGTGCACCAAGATGGCGCACAACCTGAGCATCGTATGTGTACCAAGTTAGGGTTGAGGTTGTGCGACATCTCGGTTCACCTCAGGAATGCCGAAAGTTTTGCTCAAATATATGGGCACGGAAGCCAAAGGGAAATTTTTTACCAAGAATGTCCCGAAAAAGAATCATGAACAAAGTTGGAACTGTGGTACAGCCATAGCAACTGCCTCTGTCAACACCAAATGATCCTATTCACAACTGTATTATTAAATCAAATCTGTCGAGCTCCGTAAAAAAAACTTACGACTTTAGCTAAGCACGAGATCCGCATGTGAAACATGCGTCGCAAAACCACTATAATTAATTATTAATTTCATTAACGTCACCACTCACCACACAAAACGTCGAAGCGAAAAATGCGATCCCATAGAAAACAAGAGAGATATGCTCAAATATATGGACACGAAGCGCCACCTAATGGCAATCATTTTGATGACGTCTTAGCAAAAAAAAAAGTAATAGCCTTCTGAAGAAAATTTTTATCTTTAACCACTGAAAATTTCAAAGCAATTGGTCCAGTAATCAAAGAGAAAAGCGATTTCTTCAAAACGTGTCAAAGAACAACAAGAACAAGAACAACATAACAACAAAACGATCGTTATGTCCACTAAACGTGTCCAAAAATGATTTAAAATTTGCCTTTTTCACACACCATCGCATGAACGTTCATAGTTAGGTAAACTTTCCTTGGCAAGTAATAGAGTCAGTCATTAGATAAGAAAAATACATGTAATAAGAAAAGAACATTGCTCAAATGTATGAAACTGAGGTAACATGAATGAAAGCAGGGACCTCCTGAAGTATGGGCACGAAGATACCGCACAACCTGAACTCAGGTTGTGTACCAGGTTAGGCTTCAGGTTGTGCGACATACTTCAGGAGTACCGAAAGCAGTAGTTTATGTGACATACACAGAAATCTGGGGGCTCCCGAAGTATGCGAACCAAGATGGCAGACATCGGAACGTAACATGGGTAACAGGTTAGGGCTAGGCGATAATTTTTTTCCAATTGTCCTTATTTTAGTCCCATTATCAGTTCGAAGACTAGCCAAGAGCCTCCCGTAGTATTTATACCTAAAATTATGGCCTAACCCTAACCTAGTACAGATATTACATTCCGATGTTCGCCATCTTGGTTCGCATACTTCGGGAGCCCCGAAATCTGATTATAGAAATTACGAATCAATTTGAAATTTTGAATTGGAAGTGCAAAAATATAAGTAATAATTGGATTCCAGAGACTTACGATCAACTGGTCCAAAAATTTGCGATTTTTTTTCATGGAACAACAAGAAGAACAACATATTCAAAAACAATGTACACTTAGTGGTCAATATAATTTTCAGGGATTATTCAGTGATTTTAACAAAAACTTCACACCTAACGCAATCGTGATCAATGTCATAAGTTTGCCATTTTTTCAACAACATAATAACAACATATTTGGAAAACAATGTACACTCAGTGTTAACTATGATTTTCTGGGATCATTCTGTAATTTTAACCAAAACCTAACGAAATCGTGATCACATTTTTTTAACTACAATAACAATAACAACAAATTTGCAAAACAATGTACACTGAGTGGTAAATATAATTTTCAGGGAATATTTACATATTTTAACAAATATTCACATCTAACGCAACGTGATCATTGTCATAAGTTTGCCATTTTTTCAATAACAACCATAGTAATAGGAAGAACATATTTGCAAAACAATGTATACCTAGTGTTAAATATAATTTTCAAAAATCATTCGGAAATTTTAACAAAAACTTTACAACGAGCGCAATCGCGATCACTGTTATCTGTAATGAAAAATCCTTTCACAGAACTTACTGAAAGAGAAAGATCACCATTGTCCACATTTTCATCAACATAGAAAAATTCCGTCCTTTCATGATGAGAATTTTGATGGACTTTTCGAACTTTTCCATCAAAAATTTCAGGACTGTCATGAGTTTTAGGACTGTGATCGCAATGACGAGACTCCAAATTTTCGCAACTAACGGAAATTGGAGGGCATATATAATCTGTGTATTCGACAGCTTTCCGTTTTCGTGCACTCCATCTTCTTGGAGTCATAAATTTTTTCCAATTTTTATCTGAAGACTTTTCTGTGCTTTTTGTGGTCTTTCCACCATTAATTAATTCAGTTAAAGTTTTTAATTTGGGTTCGCCTTTATTTGTCAGTTTAGCGATTTGCAATATTCGTTTTTCAGGCAATCGAACTCTTTCGGGGAAATATTTTTTTCGTTTCACAGACTTTGCTTTCGATTCAGATGCAAGTGTACATGCAGCATCCGATTCGCGAATGCCTTTTTTCTGAGATGAAATAGGAATTTCTTCTGCTGGCAATGCTTTGCATGAATCAACACATTGCTCGGATGAATTTGAAGTCCCCTCCAGTTTCTTCGAATTACTGGTAATTTTATTGCCTGATTTATTAAAAGATGACGGCTTTTCTGATGCAAATTCACAAGCATCGCTGCCAAGACCTATATTCTCAGTTTGCTGCAGCGTTGATTCGCTACCAGTGGAAATTTTGTTCATGTGGTCTGCTATATTATCCTGTTGCTTCGTATTCTTATTTGTGCAAGATTTTGATGTATCGGAAGTACAATCCTTGCTCATGTCTACCTTTTTCATGTTTACTTGTTTTGTAGTGTTGCCAGTTGAAAAAGTAGCACTAACTACACTGCCTGCTGGATTACCACTATTTATTTCTCCACAGGCAAGATGAGCATCTTTGTTAACTTGCATACCATCATATTTCACTTCATCGTGTGTTGCCTTGTTTTTTGCACTAGATTTGGCCAATTTTCTTGCATTATGTCCATATTTTCCCCTTCCGTATTCCTTGGTGTGTGTTGTTGCAAGATCGACGAATAAACGTTCTGTACGCTCTACTCTCTTCATGGCAGCCTGTAAAATTTGATCACCAGGGTTTGCTTGTAAATTAGCCTGGGTGTCATCTGTATTATCACTCACAGTTTTATCTATGCTCGATTCAGAAGTATTTTGACAGAATGCAGTTTCGACTAGGTTGTGTAAGTACCCACTAGACATTCCATTCCCAGCATCTATGTCATCTATTTTATTGGTTCCCTCACTATTGAATGTAATATTGGAATCTACATTTTTGTCACTTTCACTACTTGAAACTCCATCTAGAAGCGCATCAATATAACTATTTTGTTGATTGAGCCACTCTAATGCATTTGAGTTGTCGATATTGATTTTCATATCATTATCTACTGGTGACGAATTTTCCTCTGAATCTGAGACAACTTCTTGTTTGATTCTGGGGTTTTCGGTCTTTTCTGGAATTGCAGTAAACGTTATTTCTAGCATATTTAAAAGTTCATCAACTCGCTTATTTTGACTTTCGAACCACTCTGTCAAGATCCGTTTTGTGACTGATCTTTCACTTTTTCCTGCAGCATCATTACTTGTGTTGGTACTCTGAAACACTGGATCTGTAATTTCATCGTCGCTGCTTGGAGTAGTCTCATTTGTTTCAGGACTCTCTTCCTGTTTGCGAGGATCCAAAGAATTGTTTTCTTGTAAAATCGTTTCACAATTCTCAGGTATGTCCGTAGAAATTTCTTTCTCCACACGATTGCCAGGTATTGTAGGCAAAAACATATCTTCACCTAGTTTAACAGTAATTGTTTCACTAGAGCGTGAAAAACTGCTTGTTTTTCGAAATATATCAGATAACACAACTGAACAATCTTTTATGACACAATTTGAATCAATAGCAGGATTTTCCTGGCCTCTGTTATTACAATTTGCAATTAAGTCATTTTCGAGCTCCTCCAATAAACGATCAACTACAGCATTTTGTTCACTTATCCATTTTTGATTGATTTGAAACTGAAGATCATCTTTAGAAACTCCTCCTGCATTGGGGTCATACGGCTCAGCGATATCGTCATGATCACTTTGGATTTCATCACCAATGCAACCGTCTGCGAATAGCGAACACTCACCATTATCATAACCCATTTTATCATGTGACATTGTCCCATCGGGGTTTTGTTTTTCAGACTTTTCGTTATCACAATCAACTGGGTCAATTGTATGATTTGAATTTTCTTCACCGTTGTCTTCCTCGTTAGCCAAAGATGGCAAAATAGGGTCATTCACAGTGTAATATTGTTTTATTGTAAAATCACTATTTTCTTGTTTCATTGGCACGGAAGCAAGACATTTCTTTTTCGCATTGCTTGATAATTTGGATAATAAACTGTCTCCAACATCTTTCGAATTGCAATCCGTTTTTTTAGATACCTAAGAATTTTATACAAATAACTTGATCAGGTAAATATAATGGAAATGAAATATAAAATTGAAAATAACCTAACAAAAAACTTTTCGAATAATCATCTTTTCGTGCTATAGAATTATGCGAGAAAAGTCACAATCATGAGGAAGCAAATTTCAAGTTTTTCAATCAGTAACAGATTTCACAAACACACAACGACACATATTGAGTGACTTCGTTTTCAATCCAATAATGACAATTTCTTCAGGTATGACAATTCCTGAATGAGTTCTTAGCAAACAGGTTGGACAAAAATGTGTCAAAGAACTAATACATAACCTAAAATTCTTGACAATGCCAGTTTTGAGTGTTTGTCTCATTTGCAAAAATTGTTTAAGGTGGTAAATCAGTTTTGTTACACTCGACTACTCCAAATAAAATACTCACTGTAACCATTTGCCCAATTTGTTATATCAATCCAAACTTAAAACATACCATTAGCCAAATAGACCAAAACCTCAGTGAGTGCCTCAAAACCATTGTTTATAAAAAATTTTGTGAAAAATTTCCGCTTTTGTGTCAAATAAATATTGAAAATAAATACCTTATTTAGATCATCTCTCAAAAAACGGGCACATTTAATTGTGGTATCGTGTATATCGATTGAGCCAGTATCATTTTTAAGCTCTTCTAGTGGATGTTCTTCACTGTATTCATCAACATTGATTGAATCATTATCAATTTCAAGCTCTTCTAGTGGATGTTCTTCACAGTTATCATCCACATTGATTGAATCATTATCCTTTTTCTGCTCTTCAAATGGATGTTCTTCACTCATATTAGTTATAATACCTCCACCTTTTTCGTATTTATCAATTTTCACTTTCGAGTTATTATCTTTTGAATCTACAACCACAAAATCATTTAAATTAAGACAACCATTAAATCTTTCTTGAGTTTGGTATTTTTCTACAACTCCAATAAAATTTGTTTTAAGACCAAGAGAAACTCTCGTTTCCCCAATATTTTGTGTTTTCTTCGTTCCGTTGGATTTCGAGAACCTCGGAACAGAAATCAAATTTTCTTTTAATGGAGAGGATGGAGAAGTTACTGGAAAATGTGTGTGGACAAGTTTGACTTCACATATTTTAGTTGAGTTCATAGAAATAGTTTGAATAGTCTCTTTCTGATTAGATAAAAAACACCTTAGAGCCTGGATTCCACTCTTTTTAGAATAAGAATGCTCCTTGAGTTGTTGATTCGCTATATCACATTCATTTTTATCCAATAGTTGGCATTGAGTTGAAGGACTGGAAAAGGTATTACTATCACACAAGTTCGTTTTCGAAGCTTTATCAGAGATTTTCAAGCATGAGGCATCGATAGAATCGAAAGTTTCAGTTTTATTCTCCTTCAATGATTTGCCATTCTTATCAGCATTAGGAATTTCAGAATTAGAGCTCTCACATACCATCGGGTGTTGTAGCATAGTTGATTCATTTTTAGGATTTTTAGGTATAGTTGGTTTGCCATTATTGTAGGTACAAGGGGTGTTGGGATTTTCTTTAGTCTGATTAGAGTCAACGATTCTGTATTCACATATGGGCATCCCACATTGCTTAGTAATATCTGACATTGATTGTTCACCACTTGAATTCAGCCATGATTTCAGATTTCTAGCAGAATTGACTTCTGATTTTGCTGTATCAGTCAACAATTTCGGACCTTCTTTATTATTTTTTGCTACAGCCGTATCAAGGCATGTATTTGAGATACTTTGAGTTGTGTGCATCTGCGAATTCAATTTAAAATGACTTTGGTGATCTATTTCTTGATCTTTCTCCTCATTTTTCTTCTTTGTACAAGAGCTGACATGTTTCTCTAAAATACATCCCTCGCTTAGAGTAGTTGGGGACTTATTAGGAAGAGCATATTTTTCAGAATGGAGTGTTGTCTTACCACGAGTATATGTTTTCTTAGATGACTGGCATTTATTATTAACTTTATTACTTGCAATCTGCCTCACACATTTAGGATTTTTCCCATGCAATTCTTTACCAAATTTTTTATTCTTTGCTGTCCCTGAGGTCCACTTTTTAATTTTCTCATTAACAATTTCTAACATAGCATCATGACGATGATGTTTCTTTCCAAATTTCAACAAAGATCTTGTCACATCACGCTCATATGAATGTTTTATTTTTTGAAGATAATCAACTGACTTAGTAAAATTGACACCCAATACAATGTCCCCATCTTCATTTTGCTGCGTTTTGAAAGGAGTTTGATAGTTACGATCATTATGCAGTTGTTTCATTTTGTTCCGTATCAAATTTTTAACAACTTTATTGGGTGTAGAAATATTTTCAGGAGAATGTGGTCGTTGTTGCCTTTCAACAGTGGAATTAAAATACTGCTTGTGACCTTCATTGTGCTTAGAAGGTCTCAATTGCTCAATCTTACACTCTGGGGTTTGTAACCTATCACAAATAGTCTTATAGTTAGACTTCTCGTGATAATCTAACAGTTTATCGGAAGTAGTAGAATCTGATGTTGGCAATAGATCGAGCATAGCATCTTTCAATTCTTTGCGACAATTTTTACTTTGTAAAAAGTGAATCGTTTTCTTTATTTCTGGATGTAACAGGTCAGCTTCAAGACTTGGCAACTCATTTTCAAATACAACAACATTAACATATTCTGTTGTGATGTCTTCTCCATGAAGAACCGAACACGAGTCAAGATATTGCGATCGAACATCTCTCATTTGATATGATAGGCTCTTTTGAGATGAGTCATCTGAAAAAAAGCAGTTATGATTAACTTTAAATTAAACATATCGGTGGGAAAAAAGACCTTAAACAATAAAAAAACAATTTAAGTTGACAAGCCATCAGAACTACTAATTCAAATAGACAGCTGTTACAAGTTATGAATCGAGTGAGTCTAAGTCATGGTAGATATCACGAACAACAGTGAAAGGAACAAAAACGATATTACCACTACAAATTCTATGTTTTGTTCAAGCAATATTATGCAGCATTTTCTTCAATATCAACAAAGCCCAGCCTGATGCGACAAGTCAGTAAATTTTCAGCCTTTTTCTTATGACAATTATTTACAGTAAAATAATTTTGTTATTGATAACAAAAGTAGCAGCTGTTGAATATGTTGAAATTATAACTTAAAACTAACCAACTTTTCCGACTAGTATAAATGATCGAAAAAAATTGGTAGATTATACAACAACTGGCTTAATAAAGTTACTAAAAAAAATGACCCCTTTCTTTTCACCAAATACTTTTTCAAACAGTAAAATGTTATTCATAAAAGCAGCAAAACAGGGATAACCAAAACCTAATACAGTGATACATAATTCAATAAGAATTGGTATTCAAGCAAATTTCTGTGGGTCCTATGGGATTTGTTTTATGTTTGCGATGATATCATAAAAAATTGCGCACCTTTTGGCAGTTCCGCGACTGTGACAGATTACATACCAGTACTACTTCCCTTTAGCCTAAGACTACCGAGATATTACTGTATCTTGCTAATTCAATAACATTCCAAAATATTTTAAATATGAAATTTTGAATTATATTCTGAATTGGTATTGCTCAAAAACGAACAGAAAGAATTCGATGTATATTCGATTCTAAGTTTGAATTTCTTAAAGTCAAAAATTCAGAATATGGAATATACCTAATTAATTTCGACTACCGATTCGCATCGTTTCGAACACCCCAGAAACAATGCAACATGAAATAGGAGACTGAAGTTTTTTTTTATAAATCATAATGGATTTTCCTTGACAACTAAATCCATTCCTATTCAATTCGATCATAAAAATTACACCACTTATAATAAGTTTGAGTGTGTGTACTTGGCATCTCCAAGATGATATTTTCAGCCACACAACACCACTTATAATAAGTGTAAGTGTGTGTACTTGGCATCTCCAAGATGATATTTTCAGCAACACAACTTTTTCTGGGACTATTGATTTGCAAATGTCTCGTGAAAGACCTAATGTAATATCTATTCTCAATTTTTTTTGATGGTTGTTTGAATAAAATAACACTTGCTAGTATTGAACATTTTTAACATGTGTCTGAATATCATCAGGTGTATAGAGAGCAATAAGTTAGTCCAGGAGCATCAGTTCGAAGTGTAGTCGAACCTGAAGAATCAGTGAATACAATATTATTTTGTCTCTTAATTTAAAGAGAAATCGTTCTATAAACCTATCAAAGCCACATGCATGAGACACAAAGGAATGACCAAGTTTAGAAAGGATTATATATTATACAGAGCACTAACTATTTTAAAATAGCCTATCAAAATTCAATGGTTATCGAAGAACTTAAAAATAATCTGACAGGTTGTGTGACTAATAATGTGCCAACTAAATATACAAAATGCATAGTCGTCATAATATGAGTCGAAGTCATAAATATATTTATTTCGATGAACTTGGTGTACATCAAACAATATTATTATAAAAGCTGCAATGCAATCAGTTTTACTATAACTTCTAAAGCAGGGTTGTGCAACCTTCAGTACAGGAGGGCCAGATACAAGTAAGTGGGTAAAGCCACAGGCTGCAAACATGGCGCCCACACCGCCGACCTGCAGTACAAACAATGTGTTGCTAGCGTAAATTTAGTGAATAAACGATGATACACTGAGGAAAAATAACAAATTTTAAATTTCATGTGTGTGCGGTCTCCCACAGCTGTCAACTTTTGCCTCCCCCACTGACCACTGTCCTCCCACTCTCCGCGGTCTTCGTTTGGCCAAGCCTAGTCGCCCAATGCCAAAGATAAACAAACATACCATTCACAGATTTCATTCGTTATTTTTCTGTTGTTTCTATTTTTCATGTGTACCTTTTCTATTTATTATGCCGAAATCTAATTCCAACATGTATTTGTTACAGGTTTTAACTATTATTATAATTTATACAAATATTAGGTATGTCTGAGTTTTATGGGGGCTTAGAACAGATTCAGTTATTTACAGGTAAAATTCATACCTACCTAAGGAATTTTATACTCGCGAAGGGGTTTTCGGATAAAATTAATTTCGTATGTAGAGTTTCTACTGTTGCAACTTGCAAGCACAAAAAATTGTTTCTTTTTGTTATTGATCTCACGGCATTGTTAGGAGTCCTTGCGGATATGTGGAGTTAAAACGCGAAAAATGGAAACTTATATTCAAAACCGACCGACTTTATGCGAATTCAGTGAGAAAATCACAGACTTTAAGCGAATTCAGTGAGAAAAACATTATAATGAGATTGTGCAAGTCATTTTAGACTGATGTTTTTCTGTCAACTCAAGTTGCATGAAATTACCGGTAACGTAATCACTGAATCATAATACAGTAGTCGATCAACTCGACACAAGAACAATTTCGGTAATCAATCAAAAAATTCTAGTCAGAAAATGCTGCGATACTCAAACGAAAATTTGAAGCTCGAACAACTGAGTCGAGCTTGTGGCCGAATAAGATAGAGTCGCTAACCCTAATCAGACCCAATTTCGTTGACCGTTATTGGACATACACCAACCATAATGCGCTGATCGTAACTGGACTTACTGTCTCTATTTCGCGGACCCTAATTAGACACACATTCATAGTACTCCACTGGTTGTAATTCAAACTCACTCACCTTATTTCGTTGAACATCATGTATCATGTGTGACACACTTAACCACTTAAGACCATATTTGGCTATCCCCAATTGGACATGCGTTGACTGCAGTTTGTTGATCATACTCTGACTAACTGACCATATTTCACTAGCCCTAATTGGACCGTATTTTGCTAACTATAATCAAACATCCATTGATAGTACTTCGGTGGTTGTAATTTGAACTGACACTATTTCGTATGCAGTGATACCTCGGTAGTCAAACATAATTCGTTCGAGATTGGTGTTCAACTACCAATGTGTTTGGATATTAATAAAACATGTACTGAAACAACAATAATAAACAAAATTATTTGAAACGCATGATTTATTTCTAGGGAGTCCTAAGCCTAGTTTGTTTGCGGTTGACTCATTTTTTTCACATAAGCCTTCACGAGCATATTTTTTGTTAACTTCATCCCTGGATAGGTATATTTTATATTGTATTTGACATCAAATTGTCAGTCAATCACGGTTACTGTAATTAGACATAGAACTACCAGCAGTTATTAGTTTTCATTCTTTTTAAAAACTTGGTGTCCTGAAATGACACTACTACAGTACAACCTCTACTTATGAAATCATATCATTCCAGAAACCGCTACGCAGGTAGAAAATTTCGGTGATAGGATCGTATTTTACCTAAAAGTGCTTCAATCCACGGGTGGGCAACGGGTCGATTGCAATCGACCGGTCGATTGCCACGTCTCGGGCAGTCAATTGCAACTGATGTTAAGCGAATTCAATAACATACCCTGAAATTGCCTTGAACCTGCTATATGTTACCGGAAGAATCCAGTATTGTACATGCGCAAAATGGGATATATATATACACATACAGTTCGAGTCTGGGCAAGGACAAAAGAGAACATATTATTACGTAACAATGCAATTTTTGCAGCTGACCAAGTGTAAAATGAAGTGCCGAATATTGTGTGTCTTGAGTGATCTTGACTGACAAACAATCCTACAATAACTTATGCAGTATACGAAAATTATTGTCTCACTCCAAGAGTAGTGTGACAAATTTTATTCGCAATGGTAGCAGTCGCATCAGAATGCCCTATTTTTCCTAGTTTAAAGTGATCGAAGAATCGAAAATTGTAGATACTGAAGTTTGAGAAGTCATGTGAGGATATTAGTATAGTAATTTGCTGTTTAGTTTGATAATGCATGGATACTTGGTAAGGTTAACTGAGGAATTTGGAACACGACTAAAAGTTAGGGGGGTTCATATCTGAATTGTATGATTTGAATGAATCTTATTTGAATGACGAAACATTTACTCCGGGTACAATTACATAATCAAATTAACAGCCTAAATGGAACATGAAAAATACAAATTTTGTGTCAATTTCAGTAAAACTTCAAACACAATGCCGGGGTTATTGGCAGTAGCGGAATTTTTTGTATGCATGTGTGTGGTCATCTGCATATTCAGTACTTATTGTTTTTGTGTATGACCTTATTACCGATCAGTCGATTGCAAGCTATTTTGAAGATTTTAGTCGATCGCGGTCGGATACAGGTTGGACACCCCTGCCCTAATCTGTTCTAAGCCCCCACAAAACTTGGACATAACATTTGTATGAATTATATAAATACGGGTTAACAGAGAAATACCAAATAAAAATTACAAAGTAACCCACATTATGCCAATATATTTCACGAAAAGTATCCAATTTCAGTTTATGACGATAAAACTTTGTTGTAAGCTTATGAGTATTGAAGTTTTCCAGTGATATACAGTATTTCTCCGCAAATAATACACATAATGTATTTTAGGACATCCATATCGAGAAGTTTTCAATCTCCTTGCATAATACGCACATGGGATTTTTGTTCCCCTTGCATTGTGGGTGTTTTTTCGCGCAAGCGTTCAGACGTTCTGTCTGCTATAAGTTAGCTATATCTCCTAATTAATATGTTGTTTCATGTATTTGCGGTGAAACCGTCTACCAATCATGATGTGAAGTTATTTGACATTGAAGCATCATGCTGTTATTTGGTTATATTCTCTTCAAACCTGATGAGATCTGAGGTCAGAGCGTGTTCTCAGACGCCAAGGGAGACTTTCCGCGGATCACTAATTTGAGTGACATAT